AACCGCACCCACAACGTGCAAACAATGCACGTCGCGGAAGTCGGTGTGCTGGCATGCGCAACATGTGGCCCGACCATCGGAGCCTGGTACGTGACATAGTGGTGCTGAGCGATTCACTCGCTCTTCCTGCACCAAATACGCGACGCCGAACACGCTCATTGCTCACGCGATGCTCCCACCAGACATGAGCTAAGCTGCGAAGGCAAGGATAGAATGTAACGAGCCTCTTAATATCTGTCCACCTAATGGGCCAGGTTTCACAACCATATAGGAGAGTTTAACACACGGCTGCGTTATAAACTCTGCACTTCAGGGCGACAGTAATGTCGCGTCTGCTCCACAGGTGGCACCTCGAGCTTTTGCTATACGGTTCGTAACCTCATCTTCAATCCCACGGGTGCTAACTGCCCAGGTACTTGAATTCCCGAACGACTTCTAGCAGATCACCACCAGGCGTTAAGGCAGGGTTGGGTCTCTGCCAATTTTGGAGAGTTACTTTGCATTTCGATGGAGCAAACCATAGACAAAACGATTGACAGCCAGTGCTAATCTGTCCAGTGCTGCTTGGCATGTTTGGAAGCTGTCACACATTAGGGCAACAGCGTCCGCATACTCTAAGTCAAGAAGTTGTCAACATCAGTATTCGAATGACTAAGCGCGGTAGCGTTGGACAACGCATGCTTGATGATGTCGAATGCATCGATAGCTTCTTGAGTGGGCTCGAATTTTCGTGACCTGCCTTTAAGTAAATCGGTCAATGGCCGGAGTAGCCCAGAACAATCTGGTGTGAAACGGCTGTAGTAATTCCCAATGCCAAGAAACCGACGGAGACTTTTGAAGGATTGCGGCATGGGGTAATCTGCGATCGCTTGCGTTTTCTCGGGGAGTGGATTAATGCCATTGTAATCATGAAGGGATATATTTGGGTGTTGCTCTTCCTAACCCTGGCACACCACCAGGGTTAGGAAGAGCAACACCCAAATATATCCATTCAGCATACTGTCCTCGAGATCGGAATGACCGAGGTTTACCTCAAAGTGAGCCGAGGTCACGAAAGAGGTTGCGAGTCGCAACCCAACCACACAGCGTGCTCCCTAACTTCAGCTTTGTCATTGCAATCAATTCGATGGCCCTAGAAATCAACAGAACTTTGGCCAAAAACACATTTGCCAACCTTGATCGCAACGAGACTGGACCTTAACGTGGTGCGACGGTTTGCGTACCTCATTGACCCACTGAGCTATATTGGGTGATGCCTCCGAGCATTTTGAGAGCTACTCCTACTAGGTTGGTCAATTGTGAGAGGTCAGACAAACTCAGTCTCCTGGTCCTCCAGGTTGGGTGTTTGAAATGGGTTGGTGTCCATTTCTGTAAAACTAAATTATTGCCACCTTCCCGCTGCCTTGCGGACAGGCTTTTGAGCCAAAGACTTTGGATGAAGACCCTATTCGTAGTATCCCAGCCCACATACAACCATGACATCTTCTTCAAACATAAACTTCATCCTGCATCGGTCGTCGTGCAGATTATCAAGGGTCGCCTTATGTGCTGCATACAGTAGCGCGGATAAGCAAAAACATGATACTGCTGGCGCCTCGCTTCTTTCTTTTCCACCTGTTTCTCTTACTCCCATCCCGACCCCAATTATTAATCTTCCTTCTATAATTCCCAGCTCAATTGACAGCAACCGAAGTGCCACTGGAGTAGAACCATCTGCAGCCACTATCCCACGGCAACTATCGGAAGCCTATCCACAAAAGTCCCTTATAAGGCCACGCTATCCCGTTTCCATGGCGACATTCAACGTACGCACTATAAGACAAACAAGTCAACAGGCTGCACTCGCACGCACCTTGGACACATTGGACATTTAGGTGTGTTGTGTCTCCGAAACTAGAATCAATAACCGTAACGGGTTATTGAATTAACTGCACCTGGCTTATCCTCTTGTTATTGGTTGCACGAATCCGGAGACGCTAATGCGGCACTCACAGGTCAAGCTGGTGTAGGTATCATTCCAAGTTCCAACGTTGGGCCATCGTTGGTTATTGGATTCCGGTGAACAGCCGTTTATATGCAGACCGTTTGACGACATCAGCTAAAGTTGATTCACGAAGTAGTACAAAACGCTGTTTGTTTGTGATTTCCGTTTATGCTCCCACCGACTGCAGTTCTAATGCTGTCAAGGACACATTCTATCACGAACTGAACGCGCCACTACGCAGTGCTACTAGTTCAGATATTATAGTATTGCAGGGGATATGAACGTACAAGTAGGGCGTCTGAGCTCTTCAGAAGCTCAGCTGGGTGAAAAGTCTGGGCTTAACTCCGAACGGAATGACAGCGGTGGTCTTCTGCAACGGTGTGCGGAACACCGGTTGTTTCTTAGTAGCACTGCTTTTAGACACAGTGGGCGCCGAAGTGCCAAATGGCGTCCTCCTGTAGTTGGCCAGGGATGGGCCCAAATTGACCGCGCAGCCATAAGTTACAGGTGGCGTGGCTCCATACTGGATTGGCGCGCGTACTGCAATACCTGCGTCGACTCTGATGACGTCTTGGTACGCTGTCGTTTCTCCATGAATTTTATCGAGGGCTCACCAAGCTTCTCCTCCAATCGGCAACTGAGAAATTATCTCAGTCCTCGGTCAGGCAAGCCTATCAAGATGCACTGTGTATCGGACTTTCGCTGTCTTGTCCTAATGACACTGAGCTTCAGTGGAATAGGATCTCGGCCGCCATGCACGAGGCAGGAGTGGAACTATCCATCCTCACCGCACCAGTCACTGGATATCAGAGAGGTCGGTGAACTTGTTGGAATCTAGAAGAAACCTCCTGGCTGGCTCTGAACACCATGTGACCAGACGGGCTATTAGGCGTGAACTAAAGCAGAGCATACGTGCTAAGAAGTAAGCCTGGTGGACCAGAAGAGCTCAAGAAATGGAGGAGGCAGGAGCAGTAGACAATTACTGCAAGCTCTTCCAGCTAATCACCAACACTGGTCCCAGAAAACCAGGAGTCAGTGAGACAAGCAGAGACAGTGCGGGTGCGCTGATACACAATAAGGAGCGCCGTATGGCTCGTTAGGCGGAACACTTTCAAGATCAGTTCAGCTGGCCCCCTGCTCCCGGACCTCTTCCTACTCAGGTGATGCAGGACGAGCCATGGACGGTTAGTTTAGAGCCTCCGTCGGAGGCCGACGTCCGAAACGCGATCACAGCTCTCAATCGTTTTCGTGCCGCTGACCCGGATTACCACCCACCTGCACTATATAAAGATGGAGGTGAGGTCCTCTGCAAAACACTGACCTCCCTATTCGAACGTAGCTGGAAGGAAGAGCGTCCCGGAAAATTGGAGCGAATCGATTATAGTGGCTATATACAAAAAGGGCAGTCGCACTGACTGTGCGAACCACAGGGGTATTAGCCTAACGCCAGTTGTGACAAAATAACTGGCCTCGATTCTCGTTCGTCGCCTCACTGCAGAACGGGAATCTCAGATTAGAGAAGAGCAGGCCGGTTTTCGCCCAGGACGTGGCTGTATAGACCATATATTTACTTTGCGGCAGGTGCTAGAGCAGCACCACGCATACCGCAGACCGACAATAGCTGTGTTCCTCGATTTCAAGAGTGCGTTCGACTCAGTCGATCGATCGATTCTGTTTGAAATACTTGCGCGGAAAGGTGTTCCTACGAAATATGTGAACATCCTTCGTGCTCTATACTCGAACACTACAGGCCGTGTCAGGGTCTACGGTGTCCTATCGGATAGCTTTCCGACTACAAGTGGCGTTCGTCAGGGTTTTCCGATTTCCCCATTTTTGTTCAAATTCGTCGTGGATTCTATCATGGAGTGTTCCCTTGCGGAATCTCACGATGTAGGCGTTGAAGTGCTGCCTGGTGAAAGGTTGGTTGATCTAGATTATGCGGATGATATCGTCTTACTTTTCGACGATGTTGAGGCGGCACAATCAAGTCTGAATAGCCTGTCTAGAGTAGTCCCATTATTTGGTATGCACTTCGCACCTTCAAAGTGCAAAGTGTTGCTGCAGGACCACCAGCCACTTGATGACCCCTTGACGCTTGCTAACGAGGAACTCGAGGTGGTTGATCAATTCACTTATCTTGGCAGCTGCATCAGCAATGATGGGCGCATAGAAACTGACGTCAGCTCACGCATTGCAAAGGCCAGAGCTACCTTCTTGAACCTGCGTCATCTTTGGCGACAGAAGGGAGTGTCCCTCCGTCTGAAGGGCCGTAGATACAAGGCTACAGTGAGGGCCATTCTGCTTTATGGTAGTGAAACTTGGCCCCTTCGGTCTGAAGATCTGAGGCGCATTCAAGTCTTTGATCATCGTTGTCTGCGAAGCATTGCTGGTGTCGGATGGCACCAGCGTGTCCGCAACGATGATGTGCGTAGGCGAGTACTCTCTAGTGATAATCATGTTAGCTGCCTAGAATAACAGATAGTACTGAATAAGTCGCGTTGGCCCGGACACGTGCTACGCATGCCTTGTCACCGCTTACTTAGGAGGGCCTTGTTCAGTCTACCAGGTGTAGGTTGGCGCAAGGCTCGAGGTGGACAGAAGTTGACTTGGCAGCGGGAAATGAAGTCACTGACGACCAGACTGGGTGCCGTTGGTCCGTCTCGCCTTCCGGGTTGGAGTCCACGTGACTCACCTTGTGCTTGGCTAGAGACTTTGCAGGACATGGCTTCGCAATCGACACCAGTGGCGCGTCTGCTGCCGTCTCCTAATCGGATTGTCTGTTTAAAGTGTGTTTGGTGCTGAGTTATCTGCGGGGTAATGGCTGATTATGACGCGGGGCAGTGAAAGCCGCAAGGAAGCTGTCTCGCCGATGCCGCCTTACCTTTGCATGGTAGCCAGCTGTTTGTGACGGATTGTTGTCTACACAAGATGTAGGCGCCTTGACCCAGAATGTTTGCTTAGGGCATTAAGGTGTTCAAGTAAATCCCTCTTCTCTCCCTCTTCTTATTCTTTATTTCATAGGTCCTCATGGTTGCATGGCAGCGAAGCATCAGTTCAAACGACTGATGTACTGCTGTTGATGATGATGAAGTCAAGAACTTGCTCGCCAGGAAGTAGCTCCACACAATCTAAGTCGTGTCCAGCGAACGCTGTTTCCATGACTTCATCAATAGCAAAGTTACAGAGGAAAGGTGACAGCGGGCAACCTTGTCTCACACCGCTGATGAAACTGAAGGGTGGCGACAGTTTGCCATAAACCCTCACCCTGCCCGAACTATGCTCGTACAGCGCTTTGATAATGTTTAAATATTTATCAGGCACACCTTTCCCCAGCAGACAGTCCCAAAGGGTACATCGATCGACTGAGTCGAAGGCACTTTTATGTCAAGAAACACGACAACGGTGGGTCGCCAATAAACATGGCGGTGCTCCAACAATGGACGCAAGGTGAAGATGTGGTCGATGCAGCCTCGACCTTGACGAAATCCGGCTTGCTCTTCACGAATCTGGCTTTCACGTGTGCCAGTCAGTCTGTGGAGAATGACAGAGGCAAGCAATTTAGAGGCAATCGAAATCAGACTGATCCCTCTATGATTGCCGCATTCCAAACTGGAGTTTCCCTTGAAAATCGGGACAATGACGGAGCGGTTCCAGTCTGTCGAGACAGTCTCCTGCTCCCAAAATTTCTCTAGTAACTTGTGTAATTCATCTGTTAGGGCAAGTCCCCTGAATTTGAAGAGGGCTGAGGAATTCTACCTGCCCATGCGGCCTTATGCAATTTCAACATCCTGATCTTACGTTCGACTCCTGCGCGTGAGGGCGGATCCAAGGAAACGGCCCAGGGAGAAGGGCGCTCAATGCCCGCAAAAGAAACAGCTGAATCAGGTTGGTTAAATTGCCTTGCAGTGTTTAGCCCAACGCTCTAAGCGTTTTGACAGGCTGTGGATCGGCTGCCCACTCTCGTCGCGTATGGTCTCGCTAACACTAGATTTCCTGCTGCCTGTTTCCCGTATCAGACGGAATAACTTACGATGATTACCAACGGCAGCGGCTGTTTCCATCTCAGAGGCACGATGAAACCACCACGTTTCTAGGTCCTTCTTCAGGCTAGCCCGTAGTTTTGCCCTGAGATTTTTGCGAGCTTCATTGTATTCACTTCCAGCCGGAATACGTCGGCGAGCATTCATAAGTTCCAGAGACTGTGTAGAGACCCAATGTCCGGTTTGGCAATTTGCTTTGCCACATGAAGACATGCCTGCTAACAGCAACGCTTGACGGATATGCGACCAGTGATCTTCAACGGTGTTTAGTGGGCGCTTACTCAGCCCAGATCTCAGCGCACTTTGGTACACATTCAGAACATCTGGCTTCGCCAGCTGGCTGGTGTCAATCCGTTCACAACGACGTTTCGGACCTCCATCGAAACGCACCAGGAGGTCGGCGCAGACAAGTGCGTGGTCAGAGTCCACGCTGGTGCTCCAAATCGAGCGACAGTTTTGGACACAGCCTCTCCAGCGGTAACTGATTGCGATATGATCGATTTGCATCCATGGCTGGCCCGAGGCTGGTGGCCACAAGGTCAAGCTTCTGCGGGTGCTGTGTGGAAGGTTTGTGCCCGCGACGAAGAAGCGAGCATCTTCACAAAGCCGTAGCAATCGCTCACCGTTATCATTACGGGAGCCTACACCATGTTGGCCGCCCAGATGAAGCTCATCTGAGGACAATTTTCCGACTTGGGCGTTTAGATTGCCAGCCAACACCACAGTATCCGTGCTTCTTTTGTAACGAAGGGGTTCATGAAGTTGCTGATAGAAATCATCTTTTACCGAATCAGTGCTACAGTTTGTAGGGGCGTAGGCCGCAATGACAAACAGGCACCGTTGGTCCCCGCGCGACTTCGTAGCACGGAACGAACCAGCTAATCTAACGGCGCACATCCTGCTGTTTATTGGGATCCAATCGATCAGGGCAGCTTCAGCCCAGGGACTCAAAACAATGCCGACGCCAGCTTGACCGGCATTTGAAGCTTCATCATCGCCAGACAGGCGCAATGAGAATGTGCCGCCAGTGACGCATGTGGGGATCGCAGGGTAACCACGGAGCTCGAATCTTGCAGGCGTGTTTACGTGATTTTGTGTGTTGGTAGCAAAGTGCAGTCACACTGTATACTCGCTTTTCGGATATGGTCCATTTTTAAGACTAGACGTTTGGTGTAGTAAGTTGGTACGTAGTCAGGCAGCAGGAAGGAAAGCGTGTAAGAAATATGGTATACTCAACAAATGACGCGAAACGTTTCGCAGCGTAAGAACCGCAGGTCGACGTGCATACGTGCGCATACAAGATCAATCCGGTTTAAACCAGCTTAAGACATCGATCGCTAGGCGATACGTGACATCAATTTTGGACCAGAGCCCAGGAGGGCGTTCCAGTCAATCTTAGGTCTCGTAGTGCATAATTATTCAAGTCACCTGAGTAAATTTCATGGATATTTTGTGCAACAAGCGAAATCAAATACAATGGTAGGATGGCTGCGGACTTGAAAGGCATCGATGACAATCTTACTGAATGTAGTCTTTGTTAATGGACACCAAGTCCAATATTGTCGGTCAGTTTGCTTCTACGAATCCAAAGTGGTGTGATCATAACGAAAAGAGCTTGAGACAACGGTTACAGGTTGGCCCTGAATTGTTCACCAAGAACAACAGGTTCTACAGCCTGACCTAAAATCGCTAGCGATGAAAAATGGTCTACACATCCTTTTTATCAACCACCTCAATGCGGATTCGAATGTGAAGTCCACTTAAGGTGTGGCAGATGGATTATTCCAAATGATGGTCACAGGTGAGGTGCTATTGCCTCCGATTGGTAGTCCGCAACAGAGGCCATCAGGCATTTGTAGTCATAAATCTTGGACGAAATTGCACTAAATGTTACTGTTGAAATATAGTGCTCCAATAACACCGTTATTGGGTTGATCATTCCGGAAGACGGACCAACTTATTGTCACGTCGTTCTCTGACAAGTAAGACATAGTCTGGGAAGCGACCAAAAAGGAAGCAAAAGGAAAAAGGAAGCAAACATTAAATTGTAAAAATTAGCGACGATATTTAATTACGACGGCCTCTCACTTATCTTTGCATTTTCTTTCACCTGTCGATGCTCAGTGGCCAGTACGCGTTGTCCGCTCGCTACGCTTTGTCTAGCTCACTCCTCCTTTGCCTACGGCCTAGTTCAACTTGCCACATGTTTGGCCGCACCAAAACTTAGTCGTTCGTCTGGCCCGCACGCTTGTGGTCCATTAACAGGAACAGCATCTAATTTGTTTTCTATCCTGTTGTTACTTCTCGCCTCAATTTACTCCGCGGATCAGCACTTTTTGCATTCTGCGTCGTTACTGTGATATACTTGACGTGTACGATCCTCTCTTTCGCCGCGGTCCAAGCAATCCACGTCGTCTTGGTCTCTAACCAAGCGATACTTCTTTTACTCCAGGCTGAGTCGAATCCTATTTACCTGTCTGGCTTTTGTGTTCTTGCTTAGCTCACGTCAGTGGAGATGAATAAGCCTCCTGGCAATCCACGCTTTATCCGTCATGTTCGCCCAAACGATCGGCTATCAACAAACCTGGCAACATGACGTGGGTTTCCGTTATCTCAAAATATAGATACTTTTCATTGTTAGTGGTAAGGTCCCAAAACCGACATCCTGGTGAAGACCCGGTTGAGTCAGTTTGTTGAATAGGCCGTGGCAACCGTTTACACGCAAGAGATTCTCCTAAGTTGGTAACGTGATGGTTGGAGCAGACGAAGTGAGTAAATCTACACCATTCAATCTAGGATTAGCGGCCGACTGTTTTCATATAAACTGTTGACAACAGCTTGACATCAGGCTCCGTTAAGGTGAAAATTTATCTGCCATTCATCCTATAGAATTATTAAACACTAGTCTGAGACGGAGTGGTTAATCGAACACAGAGCAGAAAGTAGGAAGGTCGGACATAGTGGAGTTTATTCGTTATAGGCTACAAGAACACCTGAACTGATGAAACAAACGTTTATAAAGGGTTTGGTTGAAAGTTACAAGATAGAAACAGTGTGGATACAAGAAGACGCAAGATATCCGACTCACCAGGCGGTAGCACAGATGTAAGTATTCCAACCTGGAATTTGGGGAAGTCTGATACCACCACTGCTTATTCTGCACAGAGGCCATCAATTGATGATCACGTGTTTCATCAGGTTGTGTAAATGTGTTAGTGTGTCGTCTAGGCGTTTTTTGAATAATGATAACGTGGGAGCAACAATTATTTGCGCTAGGAAGGACTTCCTGGGCTATGACGCTCGGAGGGGAAAAGGGTTTCGTCGACATGCCAGTCGGCTAAACTGCGTGACCAACTTAAACCGATGACCTCAGAAATGTGTTTTGGTTGAGTTTCAGAAGATGGTGGCATGTGTGGTTGGGGTTTTTGAGGATCTGATGTACCATACTGAGGTTACCTTGTAGACGCCTACAGCGTCTGTTGTACACTTTCAGAGTTTACAGCCTGAGTGGATAGAAAAGGTAGGACAAACCACTGGCGCTCTTCGTCTCTCAGCCCTGTGAGGTTTCCAGTGCGGTGGGGTTCTGTTGGGGCCATAGATGCCACGCTTTAATAGCGTGTACTCTATGCACAGCCTTATATGCGCCATGTATTTGCGCAAGAATTGAGAAGTCGAACTTCCAAAACTCCACACGAAGGAGACCGAAATGCTGCATTGCTTTCTTTGGTGTCTTTTCGGTTTGCCTCAAAAAGACAAGATCCTCTAGTACGAGAACGATGGGATCACACTCAAGAAAACTGCGCTGCATAATTGTGGACCTAACCGGTAGTCGTGGGTATTCTGATGGCGTAGGCTCAGAGATTTGCACTAAGAGGCGCAAGTTCTTCGTGGACCATGTGTGCGCTTTAGCCAGATCATTTTGCAAGGCTGTGTGATTTTCCATCAGCATCGATGAATAGTGGAAAATTTGTAGATAGCACATTCGCACCATCAAGTAAGACCAGGAGCATGCGAAGCCCGAGTACCAAGCTGTGACGTACGCCGCACTGGACTTCGACTGGTACGGATATGGTGCTGCAACCTCTACATTTAGGTGAAGCTGAACAATAAAAGATGTCTATTAAAGTCAGGAATTCATCACTCGTTCCATAATTTTGAAGCTTGTAGGTTAGAATGCGATGCTCCAGACGGTAGAACAGGCCGTATCTATTCCTACTTCAGTATCCATAGACTACGACCAGGATAGGCGCTTTATCGGTAAATAGGTCATACATGACGGATATCTGAGGAATATGTTTGACTCCGGAGTGAGGATATTGTTACTCTCCAACTACTGCATGATTGCCTCACGAAAAATGGATTTTATGATTTTGGAGAATATGGAAAGCAGTGTTATCGGCCGATAATTCGCTAGTTCTTCACGGCACTGCCGTTGCTGTTAGGTGGGTTTGTAAGTTCAATTGAAGATCTGCACATTGGTATACGGGCGAGGGTATAGCTGAGTGGACAAACCTCAGATGACTTTGAGGTTGTGGCCCGTGGGAAGCAAAGCTGTGCCTTAGCTCATGCGCTGTTTAACATCTACCATCATGTTGGATAAGCCATCGAGGTCTGCCACCCCTGGCAAAAGCAGGCTCTTACTGCACTTGAAACTTCACAAAGAAGAGCAAAAAAACGCTGTGGGCCTTAGTCACCTACTTTACCAGCACAGACTACAGACCATAGAATTTTTCAATGGTCGATACTGTTGCGTGCGCCGCAATCTTATTTGGGTGTTTCAGATCCTAAAGCATCCAAACCACCCATGACTACACTTATGGGAACTAAATAAATAAATAAATGTTGCATTCAAGGCAGCGAGAGGCCAACCTGCGAAGGAAGAATCATGATATTACAAAGAGGTATGGCCCGTAATCGTATAAAAACATAGCAAGTTAACCAGTAGCAAAATGAATTTGTGTGTATGTAGACACGTAAGCATATGTGGCGGAGTGCCCCATACTAAGTCTGATGTTGCATTCTTCATACTTCTTCATCACAGTTGGGCTGAACCAACTCACACATAAACTAGGTCTTTGTAAGCTGGTTAAACTTCATTCCACTTTAATTGGTTCTTACTGCCTACCTGAATAATCTTCTATTTTACTTGAACACGTTGCTTACTCTAATTGCGCTTATCATCGTTAACTTTATAGCGTTTGTAGCATATTTGGAGTAACATGTGGGCATACTGTACTTGTCGCTTATTCGTTGCCAACCAACTTATTTCATATGCCAATTTAGCGAAGAGTTAGGCATGCATAGCCGTATGCTTCAACCGATATACTAATTGGATAATGTTATTTAAGGTGATTGGCTGTTGCTTGATATCCCCGGTGTGGCTGCGCTTGATGTGCATGTTGAAAAGGTGCCTACCGAACTATTACGCACTAGCTCGTCCATACTGGCTCTAGGAGACAGTTGGTCGTTGCTGGGGGGGGACGGGGTGCACGGTTCTTGTGGCCGTGCTATGCTTGAAGAGTGGTTACATGCGCTTAATGTGGAGCGGACTACGGTCTAACCACCGCCTAGTTGATTCCCCAAATACAGCGTGCTTGTGTTTGACTGTGAAGGAGTGTGGGCCGGCTCCGTTGATGTAACGTGACTCCCAGTCGCATGCTTCCCGGTTTTATTCCTTCGGGTTTACACTGGATATGGTGTGTGTGGATGGAGCTGTGAGTGGAGTACTGCAAACCACCCATATTCCCTCTGTAGGCGCAGGCGTCCTGTGGCTTGCCACAGTGACAGGCAAATCCGAAACCGGATGTCACCAACCATATGTGCAATTGTACTTGGTGAGTAAATTTGTACTGTATGACTGAATTCGTGAGTTTGTTTGCTGTGTTCGCCATTGTATAAGGGATCAATAGAACTCTTCGAATTGGATGACATTTTTGAAGTAGGGATACTCCGGAAGGGAAAGAAGCCGTGGCTTTATTTAGTGGCGTGTCACATCAGCCACGTCGCACTGCTGTTAAACGGACCTTTTCGACTTTTTATAAGGAAAACGCTTGCTAGGCGAAAACCCACCACGTCCTGGAACACTGCCACCGAAATATTCGCTGGAACGTGATTAACCCGAACCACCCAGCTGGCACCACTTTGAGGTTGTTCGGTTAGCTAGCCATAACACCTCACTCCGAGGCCATCATTTGAAGTTAACGACCCAGTAAAGCCGGCTGGAATGATGCCGGCATCTTTTCTCAGTTCGTGTGACCCAAAGGTGGAACGCTCCCACTCTTTCCGTCATCTACGCTTCTATAAACCTACACGGT